TTTTATATCTCTTGTGTCAAACTGTTAAATCTCTTTCCAATTATTTCTTTCATAGCTCTCATTTCTTTTCCATTTTTCCCCTTTCCAGTAATCTCATTTGGGACAGCTACGTGGTGGAGTGCATGTAGCACTGGCCCTGGAGTCAGGGGCGGCTGAGTTAAAATCTGGCCTCAGACACTGTTGTGACTCTGGGAAAGTCACTTTACCCCATTTGCCTCAGTTTCCTCATCTATAAAATGAGCTAGAGGAGGAAATGGCAAACTGCTCCAGTATCTTTGCCAAGAAAACCTCGAATGGGGCCATGAAGAGTTGGATGTGACTGAAATGACTATGAGTGAACAACAAATCTCATTTGATTTTAAAATCATTTAAAACTCTTAAAATAAAAAGAAAAACCTTTTGTTTCATCTTTTCCAGGAATTCTAGTCATACTTGTTCCCAAGCTATGTTTTTCTTCAACATTTTGCTTATAGATGTTTTGGAATCATTCTTTTCTTGTAGTGTTTTGAATATCCCTATTAGTCCAGCAGTGTGCTAGAGCCAGCTTGAACAAGCTAATGACTAAATTTTCAATTATAAAGCATTTTTGCCTTTCCTTTTCCTTCCTGTACTGGAAAAACAACCAAACCTTGTAACAAATAAATATATTCAAGAAAAACAAATTCTCATATTGGCCATGTCCAAAAAGATTAGTTGGGTAGCACAGAATCATGTGTTTAAATGCATAATATAAACCCATAATATTACAAAAGAAACCAATTATATTGAAATACAGTTGGCAATATAAAGACATATATGCTACATGTAAATATATATTTACCATATATAACCAACCATACTGTATATAATTATGTATAATGTATAGATCTACGTATATGTACATATGAATGTATATTTATGTATGTGTTTATATGTATAGAATGTGCATCTCTACACATATACATACACACACACATATATATATACACACACATGCATGTATGAAACCAACTTCACAGACCTCAGTTTAAGTACCCTTTCTTTACACACCCTTTTTCTCTTACTTGGTGACCTCCTCAGCTCCCATGGGCTCACAATTATCACTTCCAAATAGATAACTCTCAAATTTTTACATTTAGTTCTAATCTGTCTCCTGAGCACCATCCACCATGTCACACTACCTCTGTAAGTGACTTGTTCAATTATAAGCGAATGGCATATTTCAGGTGCTTGTCTCCCAGATATTTTCCCCTCCCAATGGAATGACTTTGAGTCCTGCTTGGTTAAATTGCAAAATCAGAGCACCAAATAAGGGTGGAGTGGCTGATAAGGTGGAAAGGGGCTGGTAGATGACAGAAAGTGTGGTTAATGAAGAGGCAAATAAAAGAAGGTGGTCACATAAAGGACAGGAATAGGGGATAGTCAGAGAGTGACTCTTTCCAAAAGCCTAGGAAGGAAATGCTACTCATCATTTTTCATCTACACTTCAAAACTTCAAGGACTTGTCATTTGTCAAGGTAGACACTCCCTATGAAGATACAGATCACAACCTCTCCATGAATTAGGAAATGGTTTTTCAAATCATTGGAGTCCTGCAGTCAACCTGTTGATTTATCAAGGCTGGTCACATGATGGCAGACATGTCATTTATCACTAGGCCCATATTCAAAACTGTCCATGTTTGGCAGAACCAGCCAGGTCTTAGATTCTACTGGAATATCTTTCAAGAAACTAGAGCTTCATGTTATGATAAAGCATCCAAGTAGGATGTTAGTAGAGAATTCATCATCCGATAAATACTTATTAGATGTCTCCTGGGAAGACTACTGTGAGGATTCCAAGATGAATAAGACCCAAACCCTTCTCTTATTATTGTTCCATAGTTTCAGTCATGTCTGACTCTTCATGACTCCCATTTGGCATTTTTTTGGCAAAGATACTGGAATGGCTCGCCATTTCTGTCTCTAGCTCATTTGGCATATGAAGAAACGGAGGCAAACAGGATTAAGTGACTTGTCCAGGGTCACACAGCTAGTAAATGTCTAGGGCTGGATTTGAACTCGGGTCTTCCTGATTCCAGGCCTAGCATTCTATCCACTGTACCACCTAGCTGCCCAACCCTTTTCTTAAAGAGATTAAAATAGAGTAAGGGAGAATGCAGTAGAAAAAGAAGGTGACTATGCAGGTCTCTTTTAGCCCTAAATCAAAGAGCCTATGAGCCTACAGAAGAGGCAGCTGGGATAAAGCTGCCCAAGGTTCCTTCATCTCCATAATCAGTCACTTCCTTTACTTAAGAAGTTGTTTCCTTGGGATAGTGGCATGATTCCTTTGTACTCTTCCATACTCATCTTCTGGGGTTAATCATTCAATCATAACACTCTCAGTCTGCCATTTTGAAAATGAAACCTGTTCTACAGTGGGAAAAGTGGGCACATACAAACACTCATAACCAGCAGCTGGGGCTTGTGTTAAGATCTGGCACCCCTCAAACCTCTAAACTGGCCCCATTCCAGTGAATGGGGTGAAGCCTCTCTTTTCCACCATCATCCATCATGTTTCAGTCATGTTTGGAGTACTGTGTTGCATTTTGGGGAAGTTGTAGACAAGCTAAAGCGTAATCTGAGGGGGGTGATTAGAGGACTGGAGAATGGGCCACAGGACACGGTGGATAGTTTGATTAAGTTGTTTTTGAATTTACTCTTTGCTGGAGCCTAGAGAGATGACATCCGAATGCTGGGCTATGGTCCATGGGAGTCACAAAGAGTTGGGCACAACTGAATAGCAACAACAAAGAGCCTGGAGAAGACCTTAGAAAGGACATGATTGTTTTCTTCAAGTATTTGATGTGGAAAAGGGGAGAGTCATATTTGGCTCAGCCCCAAAGGGCAGAATTAGAAACAATGGATGGAAATCCCAGCCTGTAAGTCAGTCAACAAACAGTTATTAAGTTCTTACCAAGTACTAGGCACTGTGCTAAGAGCCAAGGACACAAGAAGGGCAAAAACATGGTCTTTGGCCCCAGCAATCTTACATTCTACTGGGGAAGACAATATTTAAAAATTAGGTACATACCAAATATATGTAGATCTGAGAGGGGAAAGTACTAGTAGTGAGGGGGCCAGGAAAGGCCTCCAGTGAAAGGTGGGGATTGACTGAGTATTGGAATGAACTAGGAAAACCAAGAATCAAAGGTGAAAGTGAGAGCATTCCAGGTATGGGGGAGAGTCAATGCAAAGCCATGGAGATGGGAAATGGAGAATCATGTTCAAGGGACTGAAAATAGGCCAGTTTTGCTGGATGGTAGTATATATGGAGGGTATTAAGGTGTAAGAAAACTGGAAAGGTAGGAATGGGCCAGATTATCAAAAGCTTTAAATGCCAATTAGAGAAAATTATATTTGATCCTGGAGACAATAGGGAACCGCTGGAGCTTTGATTGAGTAGAGGAGGAGAGTGAAATTGTCCTAACCAGGCTTGCTCTAAGGAATGACTTCCTAATGATTACAACTGCCCAGGATGTAGTGATTCACATTCCCTTCAAATGAAGGCTGGGTGGCCACTGGTTGGGAATATTATGAAAGGGATTCTTAATCAGATATGGGCTGGACTAGATGGCTTTTGGGGTCCCTCCCAGTTCTGAGATTCTCTAGTTCTGTAAATCTTTGACGCTGGAGGAGACAGTCTTTGGAAGCAAGTGACCTTTTGGCAGAAAAGACCATGAGTCTGAGCTGCCTGACTTTTCCCAGTGATCACTGACCTTATAAAGGTTTGATGATTACTTCAGTCAAGTATCTATCCTCATCAAAAAGAAGGGGGTTGTATCCAATGGCCTCCAGCATTATGGCACGTTGAAAAGAGCCTTGGATTTGGAGTCAGATTACCAGGACTGGCTACTTCTTACCCCATGTGACTTTTGGCAACTATGGGAAAAGCTCTCTGGGCTGCTCTTTCCACATCTGGAAAATGAGGGGTTTGTGCCAGATGAACACTCCCATCCCGTTTTGTGACTCATGGCAACCAAACTATGCTGGAAAGCCAGATAAGACCAGAACCCTTACCATCTCTCAGATGCAGACCTGCTCTCAAATCTAGCAAAACTTTTGTGTTGAGCATTCCTGGCCTCTGGGTCAGGTCCCAGCTTCTTCCCTGCTTCCAGTTATTCAGGGCCCTCAGGTTGCCCTGGCCCCTTCTCTCCAGGATGAAAGAATCTGACACACCCATTTGCCCCGTGAAGGGAGGAGGGCAAGATTTGTGCTGGGGAGGAGGGGCCTGAAGAGGCATGGCTGAAGCGGAAGCACGGGAGCCCTAATGTGGAGCACTCTTGACGCCCTGTGGCAGGTCTTTGGGGGTCAGGGTCTGGGAGCTTTCCGGGAGTCCGTGCCTTATAGGAGATGCAGGCTGTGTGTAAGGTTGCCCTGATTGAACAGTCACAAGGTTCGTTATCTCCTGCTACAGGAGGCTTCTCCCCCTGCTTCTGTAAATGAGCTAGACAATCTTCATTATTGGAATGACCTCTATAAGGCAAGGAACAAGGAAGTGGGGAAAAGCCTGGAGAGTTTCAATCAAACCCCCTCGGCTGAGGAAGGAGACAGACAGAGGACTGTTCTTCCTAGCTGTGGCTGACAGAATCAAGCCTGGGCTGCCTTTAACATTTATTGAGTGCTTGCTATGTGCCAGGCACTGTGTGCTAATCTCATTTGAGCCATACAACAATTCTGGGAGGTGGGTGCTATTATTATCCCCATTTTACAGTTGAGGAAACCAAGGCAGACAAAAGTTAAGTGACTTCTGCAAGGTCACATAGCTAGTAAGTGTCTGAGGCTAGATTTGAATTCAAGTCTTCCTGACTCCAGGCCCAGCATTCTATCCACTGTGGCACCTAGCTGTGTAACCTTCCCTTACTCCTTAAGCCAATCTTTCCTCATTGCCTGCTAGATAAAATTTAAATCCTTGATTCTGACATTCAGGACCCTTCCTGCCGTATCTCAGACTAGTAACTTATAACTGCTTATTAATTACAGATTGTGTAGAGGATCAAGTGCTGGCCTTGCTGTTGGGAGAGCTACGCTTGAGTCCTGCCTCTGACACCAATTGTGTGACCCTCAACAAGCCACGTGAGACTCTCTGACCCTCGGTTTCCTCATCTGTGAGACGGGGATAATGATGGTACCTACCTCACAGGGAAGTTATGGGAGGACCAGATGAAATGGTAGATGCATTAAAGCATTGGAGATACATGTTAGCTGTTACTGCCACTACTACCACTACCACCACCACCACCACCACCACTACTACCAGTACCACTACTACTATGACTACTGCTACTACTACTACTATTACTACTACTACTACCACCACCACCACCACCACAACTACTACTATTACTACTGCTACTACTACTTCTACTACTACTACTACCACCACCACCACCACCACTACCACTACTATTACTACCACTACCACCACCACTACCACCACCACTACCACTACTACTATTACTACTACTACTACTTCTTCTTCTTCCCTTCCAGTCCGACTGGGCTACCTCCATCTTCTTTTTCCACTGTTCATACTGTTCTATCTAGAATTCTAGAATGGACTCTCTCTCTCCATTATCCTCCCCCGTCTTCCCACTTCCTTCAGGACCCAAGTAAAATGGTAACCTCTCCCGTGCAGCCTTCTCTAACTGGATCCTCCCCCCAGTTCCCCAGTGACCTCTCCCTCCTCAAACTATATTTCTGTACTTGTCTTTTGAGTGTAAGGCCCTGGAGAGAAAGGGAGTTCTAGGGGTCAAGAGGTGCTACGAAGGACGCCTCACATCCATCTTCCGGTTAATTCCCAGTGCAACAGAATGACTTCTAGGTAGAAGCACTTAATTCACTTTTGTCTGGTGGAATTGTGGAATAACCTGGAAATGGGCGGCCCAAAGCACTGGATAATGGTGGAAACAGCCTGAGGGGGCCAGCTGGCTCCTGAGCGTATTAGAGATGCACTCGGTGGGGATAGGAGAGAAAAAGGATTCCTCCTCACCTTCTTTCTCATTCTTTCTCCCTCTCCTTCTTCCCTTCTCGCTCTCTTCTTTCTTATTTTAATTTCTTTTGTTTCTCCTTCCTTGAAAGATGAAAAACATCTGGCATTTTTACTTGGGAATTGGATTCTTGCTCCAAAGTCCATCTGTGAAGCCTTGGAGTAAGATTCGAGCACAGATGACTCTGAGTAACTGGGCAGTTGATCCTAGACAAAGAGCAGAGCCCTGGGGATGAGACTCAGGGCCTGTGAGCTTGGGAGAGGGAGGCTGTGGAAGCGGTTAACAAGGAGCGTAGAGGCCAGACCGCAGCCCAGGGCAAGGTCGGCCTGGTGGGACTCTCACTGGGAGTCTTGGGGAGCCTAAAGGAGTCCTCCGGTGAGGAAATGCCCTTTTGTAATGAGGCAACTGGTGGCATGGTCAGGAGGACTTGAGTTCAAATCTAGCCTCAGACACTGTGTGACCGTGGTCCAGTCATTAACTACTTTCAGCTTCAGTTTCCTCATCTATAAAATGGGAATAATAATAGTTATATACATATATATACATATATATATTATATATATATATATATATATATATATAAAATAAAATGTATAATTTTACTGTTCAGTTGTTTCAGCTGTGTCTGACTCTTCCTGACCCCCTTTGGGGTTCTCTTGGCAAAGACACTGGAGTAGTTTGCTGTTTCCTTCTCCAGCTCATTTTACAAATGAGGAAACTGAGGCAAACAGGGTGAAGTGACTTGTCCAGGTTCACACAGCTAGTGTCAGAGGCCAGATTTGAACTAAGGAAGATGAGTATTCCTGACTCTAGGCCCGTCACTGTATGCACTATTGTGCCACCTAGCTGCTCTTTGTGATTTAGGGTTAGAGTTTAGGATGTACAGACACATCTATTTTCCTCTTGCAACTCATCCGTTTTAGAGTTATGAAGGCCTGAGTTTTAGTCTTTTGGGCTCTGCCCCATATTAATTATATAGGTGGATAAGTCCTTTGCCCTCTCTAGGCCTCAGTTTCTTCACCTGAAAAATCAGCAGGTTAGCCAGCTTTGGGTGTGATAAGGTGGGCCAGGGGCTCAAACTCTGCTCCAAGGTAACCCTGACCTCAAGTTTGCAAATCTCCATACCTGGCTCCCCTGAAATCTATTTCAGACCAGTCCCCTGGGAATATAAAAGCTGGGCATCAGTGTCTCTCTTCTCTAATGTCCTCCTTGGAACCAGAGAGAAGAGGATCTCTATTTATGGTCACTCTCATGCCTGCTTCTGTTCTTGCAAGGCCAGTTTTAGCCGAGGTTGGAGGCTTTAGAGAGAAATCCACAGGCACCCAAACAGCCCGGGGTTTGGAATTTGTGATTCCTGAAAGCCAATGACCTTGTATCCAGAACACGGAAGAGACTTGCAGCGCCCCTGGACTGATCAGACAACATTTGGAGTGCTTGTTCTGCGCTTGGCAGCCCATTTGGAGAGACTGATGAGCCAGATTGTGTCTAGAAGCAGATGACCAGGATGGAAAGGATCTCAAAGCAACAGAATCAGAGGATTGGTTGGAGGAAATGGGGTTATTTGGCAAGGCAAGAGGTGGGAAAAGAGGAGTGTGAAGATAACTCTCTGTCTCCCAGTATTTGAAGGACTGTCAGGAGAGAGAGGGTTTAGCTTTATTTTGCTCGGCCCCAGAGGGCAGAGCTTGAAACAAAAGGCAAAGTTACAGAGAGGAGAATCTGGGCTCAATGGAATGGAAAATGTCTTAATAATCAGAGCTGTCACAAAGGCAGAATGGGCAGCCTTGGAAAAGAGTGAGTACTTCATCACTAGAGGTCTTCAATTTGGGGGTTGGGTGATATTTGTCAGCTACATCCTGTTTGGGTATGGATTGGACTAGGGATAACAGCAGAAAAATGAGGGGAAAAGCTATTGAGTAGTGGCTAGAATACAAGATTTAGGGCCACATGATCTGGATTCAAATCCTTTCTCTGATCCTTAGTACCTGTATTACTTTCTGGGCTTCAGATTTTTGTTTTTTGTTTCATGTGTATAATGTAGGGTGGGCATGGGGGTGGGGGTGGGGGAGTAAAAGGGAAGAGGGTGTACTGCATGATTTCCAAGGTCCCTTCCAGCTCTGAGATTCAGGGTCTGATGTCCAGGCCAGGTGCTAGTAAGGATGTTTAATGGCATCCCAAAAGAAAGAACTCTTCTAGAAGAAGAAGAGGTATGTCTAAATTGGGATCTGAGCAGGTGAACAGAATGGAGTCTGGGAGAAGCCAGAGTACATGGGTAATAATAAAGTGAGAAGAAAGGTGTCATAGCAGTGGTCCAGAGTTGGAGGCAGGTCAATATAAAATTCATTCAGTTTCTCCACAAACCCATCCCTCTTTCAAACTTTTCTATTTCTGTCTTTGTTGTTCAATCATGTGTGACTCTTTGTGACTCCACTTGGGGTTTTCTTGCCAGAGATACTGGAGTGGTTTGCCATTTCCTTCTCCAGCTCATTTTACAGAGGAGGAAACTGAGGCAAGAAAGGTTAAGTGACTTGCCCAGGGTCACACATCTAATAAGTATCTGAGGCCAGATTTGAACTCAGGTCCTCCTGACCCCGCCTCTGGCACCATATCTACTGTGCCACTTCACTGACCATAGAAATTGCTTAGTGCACATTTTATATCTGTCTCTGTGTGGATGTCATTGCCTCCCAGCATAATGGAAGCACCCTGAGGGTAAGGCATGACTTGTTTTTTACCCTGTACTTCAGGTGCCTAGGATGGCAGCTTGCATGTAATAGGCCCTTACAATGTTAGCAGAAATGTTGAAGTGAAGCACAAAGATCCCCAAACACTCTATAATGAGAACCATGCACGGAAGGCTATCAGGGAGATGTCCTTTTGTCTCAAGGGAGTCTGTACCAGAGGTAGCATTTCTTTATGGCAGTAGACTCCTGGATATGCCTTCTCATAATTCAGCTGTATGGGCTTCCCTATGGACCTGAACAACATTGATCACTCAGTCAGTCAATAAACATCTATTAAGTACCTACTTTGTCACAGGCACTGTGCTAAGGGCTAGACCGCTCTGATTGTCTGATGAGTCCAGGCTGGAAGAGACTGCCTATGTAGAGTGTAGCACCCAACCTCCTGTCAACCCCAAGGGACCAGCCTATGGATTTCTCCCCTTCTGTCTCCAGGGTCCCAGGCAACCATGCCCTCTGGTCTCTTAGCTTAGTTCTCCTTCTTGCCCCTCCTCCCCCGCCAGGAGACTGAGCCGTGACTTATCAGGGCTGGAGGGCCAGGAGAGGGGGAAGATTTTGCCTTTAAGAATCTAATTGCCCAGAACTAATAACTCTGAGAAGTGCCAGAGCCTAGCAGGTAGGGGAAGGAGGGCTCCATGCTTGGGTAGGTTTTCAGAAGCCTGGCTATCTTATTTCTTAGACTTCTATCAGCTGAGTTGGTGTAGGGGGAGAAAGCCTCACTCACATCCTTAGTTCCTCTCATGATGGCTTAAATAATAACAGACATTTACATAAACAGAGCTTTCAGGTTTGCAAAATGTCTTATCTACCTTATCTCATTTGGGCTTCATAACAACCCTGGGAGCTATAGCTAACATTTATATAGCACTTTACATTGTTATGTGATCTTATCCTCTCAACAACCCAGTGAAGAGGATGCCATTATTATCTCCATTTTACAGATGAGGAAACAGAGTTGTTTAAAAAAGAAAGGTTAAGTAACTTGCCCAAGGTCACATAGCTGGTGTGTGTCTGAGGGAGGATTTGAATTTGGCATTCCATGATTCCAATGCCATTGGCCACCATTGGCCACCATTGGCCACCATTGACCACCATTGGCCACCATTGACCACCATTGGCCACCATTGACCACCACTGGCCACCATTGCCATCTCTCTGAGAAGTAGATACTACAGTCTTAGTACCCTCATTTTATAGATGATAAAACTGAGGCACAGACATGAAGTACCTTCCCATGGTCAGGAAGTTAGGAGATGTCAGTGGCAGGATTTGAACCCAGGTCCTTCTGACTCCAAGCCCATCAGTCTATCCACTACCCCATGGAGTTGTTCTCCTTCCTTTCCACCCTCTGTGACAGAGCCAACAGCTCTTCACCCTATCCCTAGCTTTCTGTCCCTCTTCCAGTTTCACTCCAGATGGGGAAATGCCCTCTGGGAATATCCTGGTCTACTTCCTCTCAGGTTTCAGACTTCAGGATAGGGGCATGGGCTCTTCTGGGTGCACTCCTGTGCCCAGTAGCTGGCTGCTGCTGCTCAGAGCCAACCCCCACAGCAGGCATCTTTGTGGGGCTGCTGTTCCCGCTGACTAGAAGTAATTGGGATATCTCCTGTGCTGGCTTTGCTCCCAGCAGCTGCATCCAGGCAGGTTACCTGAGATGTTCCTCCATTTGTTATTCTGTAATCAGTCCCTGACTCCAACCCAGCCACCAGCAGCTTAGGGATCCAGCTTCCCAGGGCTACAACCAAGACTCAGGAGAGTCCCTATATTTGCCCTTTCCTAGGGGATTGTGTGGGCAGCTTGGGGGCACAACGGATTAAGTGCTGGGAGGAAAGTCAAGAGGACTCACCTTGAGTTCAAATCGGGGCTCAGATACTTACTAGTTGTGTGACCCTAGACAAGTCACTCAACTCTGTTTGCCTCAGTTCTTCATCTGTAAAATGAACTGGAGAAGGAAACGGCAATGAACTTCAATATCTTTGCCAAGAAAACTCCAAATGGGGTCATGGAGAGTCAGACATGATGGAAATGACCTCTATAGATGGTCACGTTCTATGAATGCTCCTGTTTGTGGTTAACATCGGACCTCTCAGCTCTCAGGCCCTACAGCACTGAAGAGCCTTCTCAATGAGATCCATAGTCACTCCAAAGAGTTCAGCTTCATTATCCACACAAGGGAAAAATGGACAAAATTTTCTGTTGTCTAGACTCTGATATGCAGTTGGATGGACAGCCCATAGATCTCATTCATCAGTTGTTCAGCCATACCCAACTCTTCTTGACTCCAAGTGAGTACTCAGCGTGGGGAACAGACCTTCTTGGGAGGCTGCTTGGGAGGATGTGGACTGGAGTTGCACAGAGGTAGAAAGTGTTACAGATGTGAAATTGACATCATGAGTGCCCACATCAGTGGGGCCACAAATCCATTGCCATAGTGAGGTTTATAAAGTACTTTATTAATATTCTTTTAATTGATCCTTACAATAAACTTAATCCCACTCAGTGACTAAAGATGGAATTGGAAAAAACAAACCAAGAGTCTTGTCATCTGCTAGATATGATAATGATGATGATGAAAATTATGATGATGTCAATAACAAGCATTTAAATACTGTTTTCAGGTCAGCAAAACACTTTATAAATAACATCTCATTTATCTTCACAACAACCCTGGGAGACAGATATTGTTATTATCCCCATCTTACAGATGAAGAAACTAAGGCAGACATAGGTTAAGTGACTTGCTGAGGATCACACAGCTAGTTAGAGTTGAGGGACTAATTTGAATTCTTCTTGACTCCAGGTCCAACACCATATCCACTGTGCCACCTGGATATTAAGGGAGTAGTCTGTTAGTTGGGGGTGTGTGTGGAATAGGGGGCACCCAAATAGGTCATAAACCAGAAAGCACATTAGGGTTTGAGTGGAAGTTCAGTCACTTTATCTGCAAATAGGACCTACGACTTTCACATAGCTGATGGAATGGAGAGGGCAGAGGGGGCTTTAACAGACAGAGGATATGTCACAAAGAGGTTGTTTCTGGGCAAGTCTCTGATTTTCTTGTGAGAGAGACCTCCACAAGGAGAAGGGAGTATAGGTAGGAGTTAGAGCTGAAAGGGACCTTAGAGGTCATCATATTTAATCCCCTTTATTTTATAGATGAGGAAACTGAGGCCCAAGGGGGTGAAGGGCCATAACATCTCATCTCCTCTCTGTGACTTTGCATAAGCTGTGCTCTCTGCCTGGACTGCACTCCCTCCTCACCTCTGCCTCTTAGAATGCTTAGCTTCCTTCAAAGCTTAAATCAAACTCTGCCCCCTATATATAGGCCTTTCCTGATTCCTCCTAGCGATTTAGTGTCTTCCCACCCATAAATTCCATTGTATTTATATTATATGCTCTTTTAGGGAAGGCATTAGGTATGTATGTAAACATATGCAAAATATGCATATACAGGCTGTCCCAAAAGTCTTAGTCCAGTTTTAAGTTTTAATAGTTTCTAAGCTATTAACACTGCTCTAAGACTTTTGGGATAGCCTATATAAATACACACTCACACACATAATGTATATTTAGTGTATTTATGTATTATGTATGCATTTTATGTTTTCATATGTATATGTACACACATATTTTTGCACATACATACACACATATGTATATGTGTGTATACACACATGTGTCTATATTATATACATACATACATATATCATCTCCCCCTATAGAGTACAAGTTCTTTGATGGTAGGGATGGTTTCATTTTTTTTCCTTTGTGTGCCCAGTGCCTGATACAGAGTAGGCACTTAAGTGCTTCTTTATTGGTTGTTTAAGACCACTGAAATTATCATCATCATCATCATCATCATCAACAACAACATTTATATAGCATTTACTATGTGCTAGGCTGAGTTATACAAAGAAAGGAAAAGAAATAGCTCCCTGAGGAGCTCACATTCTAAGAGTAGCTCTAGGTCCAGTGCTTTTCTCACTAAGGTAGGCTTTGCAGTTGCCTCACCCGGTACCTTATTTCCAGGGCTATGAGCTCCACCACAGAGTTCTGCAAGGATGTGGGAGAGAGAACCATGACCACTCCTGGCCAGCCAAGAGGAGAAGCACTGAGGCCGTCCTACTAACATCAGAGGTATCCAGACAGAATAAGTAGGTCCATCTAAAGGCCAAACAAGTATAAGGAGAGGCCAGCAGAGGAATCGCTGCAGGGGACATGGGAAAGCAAAAGGCAGGTGCCAGGGAAGACAATGACAAAAGGAACCAAGAGCTACCTCAAGGCTTCAGTCCTCATACAAACAACTATGTATAGTCAGCTTCCCTGGCCTTTCAGGGCACAGGGAAAGAGGCTAAGTCACCTCAATAGTAACCTTGTAGAAGCAAGGCAGGACCCATGGAAAGATTCATTAAAGACCCAGGATGAGAAGATCCTTCAGGCTGCCAATGTGAAATTGCAAAGACTCAGCACAAGATCTAGTGTGGGAGAGGCTCACTTTAATTTCATTGTAAAATGGAGACTGTTCCATGATTCTTCTGTCTTGTTAATAAATCTGTCTTTTGACATATTCAAGACAGCATGCTTGAAGGTACCAATCAATATCAACCTTTCTGGGTTGCCTGGAAAGAGATTTTTCTTAGGTCTCTGGGTGGACACTTAAGCCAAGAGAAGTGTGTCTTCCCAAGGCATCTTTGGATACATATTACAGGGTGAAACATGTTGACTTGGGTTGGAATGAACTTGATGAAGATTGTGAGGCTACCAGAGGTTTCCAAACTTATTTGGCCTACCACCCCCTTTTTAAAAATTACTCAGTGCCCCCTTGGGGCTAGGTTAGGTTAACCCTTATTTTCATTTAATACCCCTCAATTGCACCTGAAGCTACTACCTACATTGTTCCAGTAACTCCCAGGGGTGGTATCACCCACTTTGAGAGCTTATGCTAGACCATCCATCTCTGTTTGTAACTACTTCCTCTCCAGTGCCATTTTCCTGGGGCCTTAGTTCTTACCTCTTTTTGTTTTGTTTTTTTTGTTTTTGTTTTTTGCTAGGCAGTGGGGTTAAGTGACTTGCCCAGGGTCACACAACTAGTAAGTATTATGTGTCTGAGGCCGGATTTGAACTCAGGTCCTCTTGAATCCAGGGCCAGTGCTCTATCCACTACGCCACCTAGCTGCCCCCTTTTTACCTCTTTTTGAACACAGATTTTTGCTACTAAGACTGGTGGTCACTCAAAACCTTACTTAGCCTCTTTCCTTGTGCCCTGAAAGGCCAGGAAAGCTGACTGTACATAGTTGTTTGTATGATGTCTCCCCTATGAGAATGCAACCTCCTTCGGGGCAGGGCCTTTCTTGATGTCTTCAGTAATCAGCACGGTACCTGGTTCCTAGTAAGCACTTAATAAATGATTGTTGATTGACTGGCCCCAGATTCTATCTTAGGCCCTCTGAGCCTCCACAGGGCTCACTGGATTTCAGATCCTTCATCTGGGAAGGCTGAAGAGGAAGCCTTCCCTAACCTTAGCTTCTCCTTCCAGGTCAGATTCACACAAATGGATCCTTAGAATAGTGCCATGGCATTTTTCCCCCAAGAAATCATTTTCTCATCCATCAGTCAGTGAATCAAGAAGCATTTAAGTGCCTGTGTTGTGCCAGGCACTGCGCTCCGCACTTGAGGTACAAATACGAGGAATGAAACAATCTCTACCCTCAAAGAGCTTATATTCTATTCAGGGACACAGGCACATATATAAGCATAATAAAAACAAATCCAGATTCAATGCAAGGAAGCTAACTACAAGGTAATTGGACAGGGGAGGGTGTATGTCTGTGTCTTTGTGTGGGGGGAGGGATGATAGCAGTTGAAGGGATCAGGAAAGCCTTCATCTAGAAGGTGCTACTTGAACTGTGTCTTGAAGGGCCATCCTATGAGGAGGAGGTGAGGAGGGTGTTCATTCCAGTAATGGAGAACAGCCAACACAAATCACAATCTGTAATTATTGTTCCATGGTAGTGGAGGGGATGGTAGACTATATTTTCTCTTTACTATAAATAGACAAAGGATCAACTCAATTTCATAGAATAAGAATGTGATGCTAAGTAGGCTGGAAGCAGGACCAAACATGACCCTAATGACGAGGAATAGAGATGACTGTGATAAATGTCCCCAATCTCATGTCTAGACTGGAAATTCTGACCCCTGTCCCAGCCACTCCCCACTCCTCAATTAAAGTAACTATTCCCACATAATGCAGAATGAATCATTTTACGTGGGCATCCATTCATCCTGTGTTGTCCAATTGTCTGCATATTCATTATGTGTCCAGCCATATCAGTGTCATCTCATACTGTGAGCTCTCAGCAGGCAGGGACCAAGTCTGCGTTATTCTTTACAGAACATAGCCCATAGCCAAGCACTTAGTGAAGGCTTTTTATTGATAATAGTGATGTCAGTGTCAGTGGTGACCGTGATGACCGTGATGATAATGGCAGTGATGAAAGCCAATGCTATCTTGGGCTGCATTAAGAGGCTCTAGCTCCCTCATAAAAAGGAATTGTTGATCCTTCTATATTTTGCTCTTGTCTGACCACATCTGGGGTATGGTGTTCAACTCTGGGTAACATAATTTAAGAAGGACACTGAGGAACCAGAGAGCATTCGTAGGAAGGGAAGCTAGGATGATGATGACTGTTTAGTCTGAAGAAGAGAGGACTCAGGGAAGATGTGATACCTGTCTTCAAATACCTGGAGGACTGTCAGTAGAAGAGAGGTCAGCCTTGTTCTCTTTGGACCTAGAAGGAAGAATCAGAAACAGCCACTGAAAGGTGTAGAGGCAACTTTAGGCTTCATGGCAGGAAAACCTTCATAACAATCAGAGCTATCTCAAGTTGGGATGAGCTACTTGGGGAGATAGTGACTTCCCCTACAGTGAAGAGGCTGAATGACCAGCTGTCAAGTATGGCATAGTTGGGATTCCTCTCACACATAGGTTACACTAGATGGCTACCAAGGTCCCTTCTGACGCTCCAATTTTGTGATATTTTTGAGACTTATATAGGAATGCAATGGTATGACTCCTACATTCTATGGGTCAATTCTTACTTCCTGCCTATAGTCTGTAACATGCCCTAGGAACTCCACCTTAGTCCTCTAGAACTGGCATCTCTCTGGCTTATGAAACACCTCATGTGGGTACAAATCAGGTGGGTATAGTGGATGGAATCTTGGGAATAGATTAATCAATTGACCTGCCTTTATTAAGCACCTACTATGTGCTAGGCACTGAGCCTGGTGCTGGGGAGTTAAAGACAAAATGATATATTTTTTGCCCTCAAGATGCTTATAGTCTTCTGGGGGAAGCAACATGTATAAACATAAGTAGATACTAAATTATTCAAAGTGAATACAGGGTAATTTGGGAAGCCCTGGAAGTTTGCAATATCAGGCAGCTCTTATGTAGACAGTGGCGTATGAGCTTTTCTTTGAATGAATGACTGAAGTATTTACTGTGTTTGCTATGTACAAAGCACTGTGTTAAGTACTGGGACAAACCTGGAAATACAAGACAGTCCCTGCTGTCAAGGAGTCCACACTGTCATGGGGGAGACAACACATAGGGAAGGCTGCAGCTGCAAGTCAGATGGAGAGGTCCTGTGGTCATTTGGGTGCAGAAGCAAAGCAGATAGTGATGCATTTTTTCTAGTGTTATTTCCACTGATAAACTCAGTTCAGATTATGATGTTGAACCATTTGATAGCATCAAAGACTTTGGTAGCAATAACTTTTTTTTTCTAGGCTTTAAATAGCTGTGGTTATAGTGCCTATGGGAGCAACAATCAGGTTGCGTCTCCATAGGGCTTGTTTCCCAGGATGAAGGCTGAGGACACCAGGCTGGAAGCATGACTATTCCCACAGCTCTTGGGGTCAGGGTGCCAAGCTGTCTCCACAAGGATCTAAAGGGAGATGGTTGTCAAAGAGGTGACGGTGGTTTGACTTGGCTGGCACATGTTGCCTTCTGTCTCTACCACAGGAGTGCTTTGCTGCTTCAGCTAGGCCGGCTTGCCTCTCCTATGGGCACCAGTTGGTTAGTATTTGGTGGGGATGGTTGACCTTTTCTCCGCAAGAGTTGCTTCCCAGATAATGGACATGAGGGAGGATTGGGCCAGAAGTAGAAATGGTGGTGGTGGTGATGAAATTCCCAGAGCTCCTATGTCTATCCGACTATTGGTGGTATTTGGTCAACAATTGTTGTTCACGGGGATGAGGAAGGGAAGCTAGGGACAGGAATAGGACTAAGGAGGCTAGGGATATGAAGAGGTAGATGTAAGAAGGAATTGCATTGCAGGCATGAGGAATAGCTTGTGTGAAAGCTCAGAAATGGGAGATGAAACTGTGTGTATGTGTGTGTGCATGTGTGTGTGTGTTGTGTTTTGACTGGTGTCCAATGGAAATGCCGTTGAAGTAGGCTGTGACTATCTATAGTCCTGCAGTATCAGGAACCAATCATTTCTGACTGTCAGAGCCTTATGAGCCTTAACCATAGGTTTCAGTGTATAGGGTGGTTGTAGTATTCCCCTGAGCATGTCTAGTCTGTGATCTATACACCTCTGTGCCCTTAACATAGGCATGACCAAGAGAATGGGGAAAGGCTCAGTAAGTGCTGTCAAGAATTAGGCTGTCACTGACCTTCTCACCCAAGTCCTTAGGTATTCTCTGTGCCTAAGACTTTGGGGTGCTCTCGGGACTGCCCGATATACACAACCAGAAAACTTAAACACAGATACATGGGGGAATCCCCTTGGGAACTCTGGATACCTCCATGTGTCAACCCCCAAGCAGCACTACTGTGAAGAGGCTTTCGCCAGTACTTTCTTTCTCTTTCCCTCTCTCTGTGTCTCTGCCTGTCTCTGTCTCTGTCTGTCTCTGTCTCTCCCCCCCTTTCCCTCCATTTCTCTCTCTCTCTCTCTCTCTCTCTCTCTGTCTGTCTGACAGACAGTTTCTACAAGACTCAATATGATGAGTTGGCCTAGAACAGCAGCTCAGAGGTTCTGACTCTCTCTGTTTTTATCTACTCTTTGCACACTGTCTCAGAGGCGAAAAGAGGTTGCTTCAGTCTTTGGGACTATTGCCAGAAGCTGCTGCTTGCTGACCTCACAGCTTACTGGACCTGGCTTGCAAATGTGCCTGTAGGATCACCCTTCTAAAGCATCCCTGTTTTGGAAAGATGTCGGGAAGAGTGACCCTGATTCTTTGCATTGTGCTGCTGTGGAGGGGATGGAGGGCAGGAGATGCTTTCCACACTGAGCTGCTAATGCTCAGCTGCCTTCTCCTGGCCCAGGAGACAGAAAATCCATAGAAGTGAGGGCCTTTCTGTTACCTCTCAAGACTTCCCTGTGTTGCATACTGAACTTGCTCTCTGTATCTCTCCTTTTTTCAGATGG